TGACATATATTATGACAAACCCTGGACAATGTAGGCGTTCTATCGCTCGCGCAGTTAACAAGCACTGTGATATAATTCACTTTACCTTCTCTCTCAAACACTGAAGTAGTTCTTTTCATACCCGTTAGTCATTTGGGTTGACATGGACATAAAAGCTTGTGATTTGCAAGTAAATTGGGGGTTGTATTTTCTTGTCACACTCTACTTATAAAACATTATTTCAACTTAATTTGACATTAGTCATGTTTTGTCGATGTCAAATTGTTTCTGCAACATGAATCCATTTATATAAACTGAGGAGCATGTGTACGATTTTATACAGGAGTAGACACTGATAATACCGCATCACAGTAAGCTAGTACACAAGGAAGTATATTGCTGTTTCAGTCTCCGCTTGACTGGAGATCATATGCAGAGCTGAACTTCCCTCTCTGAATACATATTGAGGTCACAACGACAAAGGCCCGGAATACACAGCAGCGTTAACCCATGTAAACCTGACAGGTTACGAAGATTATACTGAGAACGTAATTGTGCCCATAGAGATTAACCCGTTCCTGCATATGCGATCGCATGGGGAATGTTGCATGACTGTGGATTCTGATTATTTGTGTCGGAGCCTCAGTCCAGAGGCTGACGAAAAGAACATTATTTACACCGAATGATCGTACCGCGATATGTACAGTAAGCGAGGGCACAACACCTAATGCTTGCCCGAGTTTCTCGTCAACATACCATCATGAAAATTGTAGTAATGAAATGTAGGATTCAGACTGTTGACGATTTTTGACTGTAGCACCCTGCATACAACATGCCCTTATACCACGGATACAGGTATGTGAAAAGGAAAAAATACTACTTCATGAAATAATAGTGTCAACACGTTTCACGAAAACTGTTATCTGTTTTGTCGAATTCTTGTTTTATTTTTTCGAAACCTTTTTAATTGCTTGAATGGAAAATGTTGAATAGGTGTTAGTACTCGGGAACGACACCTATCTCCGTTTCAGGTAACATTAACTTGTTTCCATGGAAACCTGGGGAAACGAATTTTGGAAAATTCGTAATTTACAAAAGGTACCACTTCAGCCCCTGATTAAAACATCTACCAAACTCGGATGAAATATATTTCGCGGTTTTCAAGTTATGCTGCAGAAACGATACACCGACGAACGGGCGGACGGACAGAAAGACAGACCAGTTGATAACTGTATCCCCCCGCATTATATGACGGGGGTGGGGTGGGGTGTTAAAAATTTACACTATAAACGACTGAGTGACTAAAAAAATGATGATTGTCAACAGCTTTCTGTAGTGTTCTACAATGTTATTCAGCACGTGTCTGACACTCGTGCACGAAGATTGCTGTACCCATTCTCGTTAGGTGCGATAGGACGTTCACGAATATGTAGTTGAGGGGTAATAAGTAACAGTTTTGTAACCCAAACCTGTTGAAAATGTGATTGCATATTAGTGTTAAAATATGCCCTGACATGGGCATTGTTGACATTTAAGGTCTAAGGTAATGGTAATTTCAAGTTCATAGATGTCAGCACGCAAAACATCTGCACAAAACAATAGACTGGGGCGTTTGATAGTAAGGAGGCATACACGTTTATTATCTATATCAGAACTCGGGATATTCGACAAGAATATCTGTGCATCATCTATTGCCATCGGTTCTGTGACTACTTTCATTCATTTTCATTCATGTCATAGTTGAATGAGTGAATCCAGTGAATAGTTTCATTATTTAAATTTAGTTTCACATGCGAAAGTTTCGTTGTTGATTCCCAATTTAGTACTAGCTGTATCACTTTCCATTTATATAATGTTTGCAGTGACTGCTGCGTAACATCGGTGTTGTTCTTTATTAGCGCAGGCTTACTTGTATTGTGAGATACGAATCATTTTCGGGAAATATTTACACATTGAATGGAGACCAGCGATAATACTTCCGGCGCCTGGAGGCTTCTATCATACATTTACTCACATGCATTCATTTTAATACATGTTTAACCCAGATAAATATCATGCTTGTGGCTCGATGTATAAGAGCATGAGTGAGTGAGTGAGTCTGGTTTAACGCTGTTTTTTTTAACAGTATTCCAGTCATATCACGGCGTGTCAGCTTAATGTGGGAGGAAAGGCCGAAGTGATGCAGATCTCAGACGTTTACCACTTCGCTGAAACCAGTGAGCACGGGTATGGTGCTGACAAAACTAGAAACATAATCGGGGCGAACCGGGATTCGAACCCACAATCATAGGTTTCTGGCGTGCCCAAGGGACGCATTTCTGCACAGCGAATCGCGGCGCCTCAGACGACTGGGCCACCCGTGCCCCCTCAATGAGCCCAGACCTTTTCCCGATTGAACAGACCATGGTGTAGTTGAAGAACGGAAGGTCTGGGGTTCGATCCCCGGCTGCGTCATACAAAAAAACGTCCGATGGTATATGTTGTTAACCTGCCAGTGCTCGGCATTAAGAGGCAAAAGGTCTGGTCGGCTGGAAGTCAGTATATTGAGTCTGAGACGGGTTTTCATATTAAACTGCGGCATGGTATCTCTTTGGACCAGCACTTTAAAATCGGCATTCACCGGACACGTACAAACAGACACACGCATGCACGCACGCACGCACGCACGCACGCACGCAAAAATCTTGGACGCGACGTTAACCCCATTTCACCTCACCTCATCAATTGAACACGTCGGGACGTGTGCGTCAACATCATTAGCCGCCGACCACGTTGGCTGAAGTAGAAATGGGACAAACTCCCTCAAATCAACATTGTGAGACTAATACGCGGTATTCCTCGCCCATTGAATGACTGTTTGACAAATCGTGGCAGTATATTACGAACTGCACATCCAAAAACATCAACTTTGCAATTTCCCATCTTATCCCTATCGTTCTTCACGATCGTTGACGTCATCACTAAATAGTTGTGTAAAAACTTGTAAGCAATGAATATAATTAATGAAGTTTTATTGACTAAAGTGAAGGGAAGAAAACAAATAATCAAATTGAAATGAATAAACTGCTGTGTTACAGAAAAGCATATTCAATATATCATACTTCATATTTAAAGGAAATATTGTATTTCTTGTATCTTTATTAAAACAAGAGTTTATTAAAGCGACATAGAAAAAGAGGATATTGCAGATACATCGATATTCACATGCTATTTGAACAGATCATGTCATAATCGCTAAACTAGCTAACACACAAACAGATCACAAGCAGATGTTTTCAAATATTCAACACAGTTTACTTGTTACCCATATTTCTATAAATATTTCATTTCTTGTAGAATAAATAAAAACAAAAGTTTATAAAAGCAGCTAGGCTGGACCAGACAAACCAATGCTAGAATGAGCAGCGCCCTTGGGCACGATGAGACGCCATCAGCGTAAACACATCCTGTGGAGACGGCTCCTCCGACAGACATTGCGTTACGGGGACCTAATCGTACTCAGGGTCCCCAATAGGATGATACAAAAATATTGACATTTAAACAATTTTCATGAAATACAACTTCTAAGATGTCAGTGCCCGACAGTGTTTCGCCCATTTATGTTATAATTGTATTTAAAAATGTAAGCAATATATATATTTAAGAACTTTTTGTATTGTTTAAAGCGAAGATATCAAAACAAATATACAAATTCAAATAATTAGTAGTGCTGGTTACAGAAAAGGATATTAAATAAATTATAGTCTATAATTGTAAATGTAAGTAAAGGAATTAAAAAAAAAGAGTTTATATAAGCACCATATAAAAAGAGGATATTGCATATACACATGTACATGACCACTGGGTCCAATCCCGGCTAGTAGAGAATCTCCTTCACGGGTTATATTAACAGATCATAACACAGATGCTAACCAGCTGACAAACTCTTTCAGATCACGAGCAGTTCTCGCGAATGTTTAAGATCTCCCAGATAGCAGGTCTTTCACTGAGAATCGGGAAGAAAGGGTAAAAGTATACAAAAATACACAGGCATCACCTTTATTGTTTTAGTGGAATGTACATGCATGTGTCCATGACTGTACGATTTTATTACGTACATGCTTTATGACGCACTTGCATGACAGACGTGCGTCTGCATACATTATGTACTTATATCACGAATCTACGTGATACGATGCAGGCCGTACATCAAATACAACGTGCATACAGCTATAACAACTGATACACATGTACATGTGCGACAAATGGCCAAATAGGTAATTCCCTTCTACATATTTACCCACCTGAACGAGAAAGAGAACGAGCCAGTAAAACCGCCTCTTCTGTTTCATATTTAGACATTTGCAAACAAATGAAGAGTAATGAAATCCCGCCCCTTCCTCTCCAACCAGGCTGTGATGAGAGGAGTGACTTCTCAGAGGTCAGCTACACCTTTACGTCGAGCAATAGTCCAGCAGCTACAGTCTTTGATGTCAACATTTCACAACGTTTGATGTACAGTCGAGCGAAAAAGTTCTTTCTACAAAGGTTTTGAAAAACATCATATGATTCTTCCTTAAACATGATTTTATCAGGGTTGCACCATTCAAGGCATAAGTTAATCTTTCAAAATATTTTTATGCCAGACATGTAGAGAACATTTCACAACGTTTGATGTACAGTCGAGCGAAAAAGTTCTTTCTACAAAGGTTTTGAAAAACATCATATGATTCTTCCTTAAACATGATTTTATCAGGGTTGCACCATTCAAGGCATTAGTAAATCTTTCAAAATATTTTTTTATGCCAGACATATGGAGGACATTGCCAACTTTCAGGCGTCACTGACCAAAATTATGTCCAATCCATTTCCCTCGTTTGACCTGTACTATACATTCCAAGTTTTGTGTCTCAGGCAACACATGTTAACTTTTAGTTGGAGGCGGTCGGGTAGCCTAGTGGTTAAAGCGTTCGCTCGTCACGCCGAAGACCCGGATTCGAATCCCGACATGGGTACAATGTGTGAAGCCCATTTTTGGTGTCCCCCGCCGTGATATTGCTGGAATATTGCTAAAAGCAGTGTAAAATCAAACTCACTTACTCACTCGCTGTTTAGTGGATAGGTCATGCATATCTGTTTGATATATTGATGAACTTTATCTTGCCTTATATATGGTTTTTTTCTGTTTACCATTCGATTCGCTTTCTGATTATCATATCAATTCATTTTTATAGCATACAGTTTATTACTAGAGTATGTGAGTAAAGTTTGACGCCGCTGTTAGCAATATTCCAGCAATATCACAGCGCTTCACACATTTCATTACTAGAGCACGAATATGTAACATGTGGTTGATATGTGTAACTAAAGAAAGTGCTAGATCGTAGAAATACAGTGGACATTTTGAAATTCGTACAAAAACATAACTACTTCCTTCAGTATGTATCACGACTAAGAGCATTAACATTTCCGTTTTTTACACGGTACCTCCTTAAGTATGCCAGCCTTCGATTGAAATATACATGCATAGGAATGCTTTGATGTAGCGTTTGTACTAGCGTGTTGTTTGACCCACAGGGTCCTAACTTAACATCTCTTAGCACCGTTTGGGGAAGTACATTAGTATTCAGACATAACTGAGGCATTCAAGAACACAACGTGAAAAGCACATGGTCCACCGAGTATTTGCATAGACCAAGACGACGAGCAAATACGTTCCGGTTTCACAAGATTGGGGGTTGACCATCTTGCAGTGGTATATCAAACGTCAGCAAGATATTATCTAGTCAATATTAACATTGTAAGGGTGCACTCTGGGTATACTACAATGGTAAGTAAACTATTCAGAAGCAATAATTATGTGACATTCATATTTGCCTCAGGTGCTGCATAAGTAGACGGTGCATACGCTTCTGTGTAATTAAGAAGTTGATACTTTCACGTAACCCATTGCAAGTGTATATTATCAGTATATGAATATGATGCTTGTCGAAACATATGTGAAAACAACATATATATTTTGTAGGGCGGGCATAGCACGAAGCCTATATAACCGCGACAGCACTGGATATCCCTTCCTTCGTTTCCCACCTGTAACGGTAGTTTCACCTTACGATTACCACAAGTTGAATTGAAGACTACATATTCGTATATGATACACGAATCACATATTAGGATACAGGTGTTGAGTGTAAAGCTAAGGAAACACATACAGAGACAATGACATAGGTGTTGGCAAGATGAAGTTCATAAGGTGTGGTAATAAGTTCAGATATTGGCACAGTTGATGTAATGTGGTCCTTTGGGATTGTTTGGTGGTAAGTTCAGATGTTGGCATAGGTATTAGCTGGGTCTGTCCTCAGAATACACTGCTGCGCAAAGTCGTGGAACATCTGCACATCGCTCTGAAAAATGAAAACAAATTCCTATTACTGAAAGAGTATTCATGAGAAACTCAACATTTAGCTTACCATATTTTGTGTTTATAATGTTTTACATTCGATTATTAATGGTCACATTCTATCTTATATTAGACAACTGATAGTGTTGAACGTTGTTGGGGGAACAAACAACCCCGGTAAGATCGTACAGGTGTTACGGTTATGACATCGCGATCGGTACACAACTCACTGTTTAAGGGCTACCGCAAGGTCTGAGTCAGAGGTAAGCATCAATTCAATATCCGTTACTAGCCACAGACGTTCTCAAAGTATTATAACAGTCTACAAGCCCAGTTTAAAAAACTTGTGGCTAGTTCTGGTCAACAGCTGACGTTGATCTGCCGGCTACGGTTTAAACTTCCACACAGCTGCAGTCCAACCCATTGCTGCTGGCAATTTCTAAAGTGTACTACGCTCCTGTTTCGGGACTACATGTGCTACATAATGCTATAATTTCACTTCAGTATCAATAATGACAGTAGTGAGTGATGACTGAGACCAGTCTTCTGAATCCGGCTTCTTCTTGATGTCTATTCTGATTTCCTTATGTAAGGTTTGATTCTTTGTTGTGTAACGCCGCACTCAGCATTATTCCAGCTATATGGAGGCAGTATGTAAATAATTGAGCCTGGACCACACAGTCAAGTGATTGATATCATTAGCATCGATCCACGCAACTTGGATATGATGACATGCATCAACCAAGACAGCGAAGCTGATCACTCGATCATATAATCAACCCAAAATGATGCCAAGACATTAAATTAAATGTTATTTAAAAATAGAATTTATCGGCAAACTGAGGAAACTCCTGTGTCCCTACCTGGGTGAACTGAAGATCTGGGCAACATCGGAGGAACGTCCTCACGTGATCGACGACGTCAACACGGGCATCCTCACGAATACCGGACAGAATATTACCCATGATGCAGAGCGAGACAGCAAGTTTTCGGTCATTGTTGCTGCAATTCAAATAGTAACATGTCATGTTTCCTGTTATGTTTTGTGTGTCATGTATCCATAACAGTAAATGTGTTTATCACATAATGGATCGTGTTATCAATACGATAAACCAAGCATATACACTTTGTATCACGACCCACTATATTTACACAAGAGGTCGTCAAGCAGGAACTACTTTTGATATGCACTATGGATCGATGGCACGCCCACTTCCTCAATAAACCATTGTCAATCATTCCCAAATAAAGTACATGGAGGTTTCCGGAAGTGTGTGTATTTCTGTAACCAAATAAGCATGGGCTTCACTTACTGCAAAAGTGGGAAGTTATTTACTCGGTCTGTGTATTACAATAGTTTTCAAATTTGCATCAGTGAGTGAAAATAATTTTTTTTATGTATTTAACTTCGATTATTTAAAGAAAGATATAATATAACAAAGAGATTTTGACCCGCATGTGCTTCAGTCTTAACTAACATATATCAGGAATTACAAAATACAATTTGATTTCTTTGACTATTATACTTACAATGGGGAACATATTCGGCTAAAAATCTGAATGATAATATGTCAAATATCCTGGAGACATTCTCACCTGTGAACAACAACAACAGGGTGGGTCTGAGTTGATGTGTTTTGAAGGTCGGCGTGGTTTAACAAATGTGATGTCATGGCTTCCATTGTTAAGTGGGCGTCAGCGTTTACCATCTTCACTTGCCGGGGTCTGCCTGCCTGTGTGACACGTGTGAAATATTGCAAGATAATATCACTCTACTGTCCGCAGACAGAATAACCTTCACTTGCATGCATATTTATTGTTTATATTGTTGTCCTATCACACATATGATGTTGGCATTGTCATGTAATCCAATATATACCAGTGCAATTGCACTTACAGACATATTAACCGTCCTGGTTGTTGATTGAAACATCCAAAAAACTCGCATAGAAAGAATGACGTTCTGCGATGCACAGGAGATGCCATCTTTTCGCCCACACCTGGTATCGTTACAATATGACCGTGAGATAAGTCACTTACTGCACGGAATCGTGCGATGGACACTGCTTTCGTATGATTATGGAAATAGTTTTATTTACATTTCAGGATTATAGCAAGCTCCTCAGATTTAGGTACTTGTGCATAGTTAGTTTATAATGTGTATGTGGTGACATTTTGTCAGTAGGGACCACAACAACTACTGTACGTAAACGATATGATGTCTCTAAAACAAACGTTAAATGTGTCCATGTACAGCTGATGTATGGCACATTGTTTTGAGCCAGTTCATTTTGTTAATCGTAATTTCAGCTTGAAGGAGTTTTGTTATCAGGAGCCATACGACGATGAGAAAAGAAATACTGTGACCAAAGAAAGTATTCAGTTAACAGGAGCATACTTAAAGAGACTCGACTAATATTATTCGGTGCATTTTGTCAGTCAAGAAAAGATTGTATTGCGAACATATTTGTTCTAATACTGTAAGCTAATGACCAAGAACTCTCACTTTTGTAGCAAGCTGCAAGTTGATCATGGAGAGGTCCGCTGATAAGTTGGTTTGACTCGTTGTCGTCACAGTAATCCCGCCGTGCGTCTTGGACTTGCCCTCTGCTTCCACTAAGCCCGGCTAGGGAGGACATGTTCAAAACGTCAGTATTTAACACATGCATGTTTTTTAATCAAAAGGCAGACTACAATATCATGTGGTGCAGACAAGAAGTCGGGATTACTTCACTTCTATCAAACAAGCAGGCTCCAGGTAGTAAAAACGCTGCTTGAGGTGAACATATTAGTACCATGAATGAAATGTTACAGCTTTGGCATTATGGTCTATCAATCTACAACACAATGCGTAAGTGTGAAGAACAACTTCTTTAACTATTTCAAAAGATTCTATGTGCATACATTTGGCGTGACGACGATGATGTTGTGGACGTTGTTCTCTTCAACCAGTTTCCACAACAACTTCACTAATCTCGGGTCTGGGGTAACGGCTTGCAGGTACCCCCTCAGGCACGTCAAGGTCTGGAAGGAGGAATGGATATGTGTGCCATGGGTGGTAATATTAACAAGGAGTCTCCCTGCTATATTTATATGCAACATTGTGTGTGTTGAGCCCTTGCAGTTGTTTCATCAGAATTTTTCTCAGCAGTAAATTTGGTATTCTTTATTATACTTGTAAACGTGTTATTAAACGGTTTTATGAGTAATAAAAAATATTAAACATATTGTCCACCTACCGGCCCCACACGGACAATGAAGTCTGGGTTACCATCCACCCACATTCTGTGTCGGTTAGGGGCATCTGCAAAATGTTACAGTACAAACAGAATATCAGAGGACATAAATATGTAGTCTCATCATTCAGCATCAGGGCCCACTTGCAAAAAAACGATCTCAGCGCTAAGACTATTGTAAGCCTATGTTAAAGTATGGGAGTTACGATCATCTTAGCGTTAAGATCGCTTTGTGCAAGTGGGTCCAGGTCTGGAGAAATCTCAGTTAGCTTTGATTGTCGACGAAGTTATGGATGGGGAGGTTGTGGGTTATTCCATAAGCAATGATATCTTCAATTTTCATGTTTGGTTAATCGTTTCAATCACAAGTGGCCATGTCGTCTAAGGCGTTGCTGATGGTGGGTTCAAATCCAAGACTCGCCTTCATCCTGTTTCTTGTTTTGTCTTCACGGTACCCTTGTTTGTGGGTCTCACAAAAGTGTAAATCGTCAAAGACCTGCATCTTTTCAAGGTTTCCTTCACAGCGACTTTACACCTAACCAACTTAACCTTTAATTTGACGAAAACTAGGCACTTTAGTATCATGCAGGGATTATAAGATGAACTCATCTTCCATGCTGGTCGTAAGGCGTGAATAGGTTCAATGTGACTTGGTGCATTGTATGTCAGAATCCCCGATGACATGGATCTCATGCTTTCAGTCAATGAGTTGCCTGGATACCGTGATTTAACTAAAGTACTGCTGACAGCAGTGTAAAGGATATTCAGGTCACTGATCCAAGAAAATGAATTGCATGTCTTAGAACAGGGAATTTCCCGAACGTTTCTAATCTTACACATGTAGCTATTGCTATGTAGCTACACGTCCACTTCCGTGCCCATAGGGACTGAAACTGAAAGCACATGTTCTTGGGTCACTAGTAGACACGTTGGATGTGTAAGGTTGTGGACTGTGTTGTTGAAAAGAGTGCATGTTCACTTTACAGCATATCTTCAGCGTCAATGCATATATTTGAATCAAATTTAATCTTGACAATCATGTGTACTTACCATCTCGGGTCTCTGACACCAGCATCTGTGAAAATACAGAAAAAAGGAAAGTAATTCATTCTCTCAATATAACATAAGAAATGGATAAGAATTGCAATTCCAAGAAATGTTGAATATCACCTTCGTGTAGGAACAAGAAGGTATATATGTATGTCAGAAGGAATTCTGTCCGTGTCCGTGGAATTACAAAATATTTGGAATGTGACCTACTTGAATATTAAGGTAGTCCAACAGGACGGTATGTATTGTGTCGAATGTGTATAATCGCAGACTGAGGTGAGAGTATTTGGGACCAAGAGTCTGTGCCTTTTGCTATTTTATTCACAAATTATCACTGTGCAAAATGTCTTTGACATCCAGCAATTTACACTTATTCCGAGGTTTCTCGATACATGTTTTAAATGTGCGACAAAGACATTCTTTAGGTTAACACATATGATGGAAATCACTGGATTGTCTGGTCCAGACTCGATTATTTACAGACCGCCGTCATGTAGCTGTAATATTGCTGAATGCGGCGTTAAAGAAAAAAACAAACAAATAAACATACGTTTCAACACTGACCTGTGACAACTGTCTGAGAGTCCGGCCATCAACCGTGGCGTCCATGCCGATGCTGCCGTAACTGGTGGTGTAGTTGGAGACGTCCATGCTGGTGCTGCCGTATGTCGTCATCTCTACCAGACAGTGGAAGACACATTCATACTGGGCCTGTGATTGAGAAAAAACACATAATGTTGTTTCACGTCGGTATGAACCGTTTCGAAAAAAATTCTTATTGCATTAAATACTTTGAACTGAAAGTACTGCCATTGCAGCTCAATTTAGGAGATGGTAAATTAAACTTCCGACTCACTTCCTTTTTCAGAAAACATTCTAATTGGAGTAGAACCTCGGTTCAAATGGTTTCATGACTGACACAATCAGAATATATTCTGATATAATAAACGATTTTCAGTTATCAGAAATATATACTAACCTCAGAAGATCATCATGACATGATTGTTCGAGACCCTATCGTTGACGTGCAGGCAGTTTATGACGAGGTTGCGCCGGGTTATGCACATATTTTACTGCCGTTTCTTTCAGTATCTGGACTTGACAATTGTTTTCGATAAAACACTACAAATAATATTTAATGTTTGTGCGGATGCCACCGGTGGGGCAGGATACCCTCACCTTTTGGCGAACACCTGGTATCATCCCTCATTGATAGTGATTCATGAACACATGTTCGTCATGCAGTCGAAATTCAACATTGGTTTTGAAAAGGTTTATTGCTATAGGTATATATAGCAGAATACACAAGATATAAGGGGTTTATTTCAGCCAGTAAACCCTTTTACGTATGCTTTAATCTTTAGTCGCGATTATCTTCCGAAACAGATTCCACTGGGTCTAACCCAAACTATTGATGACATTATAAGAATGGGTCAGTGAAACAAACTGATGACACCAGGTGTTCTTGGAAAGGATAAGCGTGTCCTGCTCCCGCCACTAACGTGTCATACAAAGGTATGTAGTTGTTGTTTCCACTTACCGCTGTCTGTATCATGTTCTTTCTCTGTCCCCTCATCACGGACACGTACCCCAGGATATCCACCACCCCCTCCCCTCGGGCCTGGTCTATCAGGGAGTCAACGGCGATGTATGTGCCTGTACGTCCAATACCCGCGCTGAAACAGTCCACAATGTACATATCTGTTCCTGTACGTCAAATATCCGCACTGAAATAGTCCACAATATTCTTATCTCTGCCTGTACATACAATACCCACACTGCAATTGTCCACAATGTACATATATGTGTCTGTACTCTCTGAAATAGTCCATTCATATGCATGTATTTACTTAAACTGTCAAATTTCTGAGCTCAAATCGTCAACGATATCTGTTCTATCACATCATATACCAGTGATGTGAACATATTACAGTGGATACGTGTTATCCACGACGACACTGATTCCAGATAAATTGTCTGGATTTACAAGTATTTATCAGCGTATTTCAGGGTCCAGAACAATGTGGTTTCAAAAATTACAGTCCTTTAATTTTTGCATGTCCCAGTCGTAATGTCAGAACATTTAACAAAATGGTGTGAATGATGTAATCATCAAGAAGTGATTAAAGTAGGATTTTTTTCGCAATTTCTAGTCCTCCTATTTGTTTGAAGAATGGCTTCCCAATCTACTGTGAAAAAGTAGTGGTTAGCTATCTTTGTAACTAAAGTTTACCTACCTGCAGTGGACAAGCAGTGGTCCGTTTGTTCCTTCAATTGTCTGTCTGACAAGCCAGATGTAGCTGGCGAGAGCGAGGGTGTCGGGGACACCGTGGTCAGGCCAGGATGTAAAGTGGAACTGGACAACTGTCCGACTCTCTCCTGTCTGTTACAGAAGGTGTTTTATATTTCGTGGTGACATGAAACAAACTTCAATCATATGTTTTACTTGCTGAGCTACCTTATTAATTCAAATTGCTGTGTGTCAATGTGAATTTAGATGTTGACTCCTGCACTACTTCAGCATATTGTCCAGTTATACCACGACATAATTTAGTGAACACATGCAGTGACTGTTTTGATCCAATACTCACTGCCTTTGAAGTGACTTTCATGTGTCTCATTGTGAAGTTCGCACGGATTTGTGTTACCTCCACCTCTACTGTGAAGAGGCCAACGTCCATTACACCATCTGCCGGCCAATACTGCTCACATTTCACCTACGATTTGAAATAGTTGGTCTATATTGACACAATGTGCATTCCTGCGATTAGACACAAAGCTATAATGAAATCTTGCACGTTTTTTTAATGGAAGCCAAGATCGTTATTGATCCATTCATATATTTTTCTCTGATGTTTTGCCTTTTTAACTGAATGTTGAATAGGATAATCGATACGTTATTTATTTATATATCGTGAAATCCTACCTTAGTTTCCTCCACCAGACCAGTCAACATGACCACAGCGCTGCAGGAATGTTCCCAGATCATCCTCCAGAAGTCGCCCACTGTCTTCTTGTTGGGGGCTAGACACATTAATTAATGGGTTATTGAAACAAGGAGGATGTTATTGGCTTGATGTACAAATTTCCATTTGTTCGTTAAATCATCACAAGATTGAAACATCCCCTCAACTACTGTCTTTTCGAATGATATGCATTAGATCAAAGCTCCAAGATTATTACTTGTACAACGACGTACATGTACGTGTATGTGTTTTTATGGCTGCTTGTACTAGTCCAGACTGATGCCGATTTATAGTTCTAGCACACTGATATACATGCATACCCCACACAGACACAGTAAACTGGCTGCGAGCTGACCAGTCCTTGTTTTCGCCCTTTAATGCCGAGCGCCAGACAGACTAACAAGTACCATCTTTTAACGTATTTTGGCATGACGCGGCCGGGGATCGAACCCCGGACCTTCCGCTCTCCGGGCGGACGCTCTACCATTAGACCATGGAGGCGGTCAGATACACACAGAGACAAGTGTGTACATTATAGAATTAGTAAGATGTACTGGTCACATCTGTGTCAGTTATTTTATTCTATCAACAGGTTATTCAACCGTTTTCAAAAACACTACGCCATAATACATGTACTTGTATCTCACCTTGAGCTGCTATGTAAGTCTTCCTCTGGTTGTAACTCTGAAATTACAGAAACGGGGCAGATGGATAGTTTAATCCTTGCAGCCATCTATTTTCTGTATTTGAATTGTGTACGCCGTATTAGTCTCGAAACCCCGCCTTCTGAACGATTTGTTATACCAAAAGGAACATTTCTCAGTACCCCTAATCCGGGCGATTTCGCAAAGATGACTATGTCCGGAGTAAACAGATTTGAAATATAACCGTGAAAAGGTTAACATGGCATGACACTAAATGAAAGAAGACGAGATAATTACAAAAGTACACACGTGCATGAGACTGGCGTTGATGTAGTCAGAGCCAGGGGTATCAGGTAGGAGAGTCAGGCGGACTCGGTTATGGTCGTCTGAAATTTAAAATAATGTCAGTTAAACTCTTGATAACCACATCTTGTATATTTTTGTAAGCTCAACAAAATCAGTTCAACTCACAGGGGTAATAGCCTCTGAACTTGTTTTTGCCACTGTTCTCGGGTTTCTGAGAGTCTTGATATGACGCTGTGAATCCAGTCGGCAGTCGCTGTAAGTACAATACATTTCAGATATGAAATCTGATCTCGGGTAGCATATTATGTTATGCAGAGGCAGATTGTGAGTCAACATAAACATCACTAACATAAACGAACAGAACAAAAACAAAAACAAAACACAAGAGACTTACATAAACACAACATCCGGTACCAGCAATGTAATACACTATCTACGACTCACGTTATATTCTCTTTCAAATCCATCTTTCCTCTGTTTAAGCATTGCCACTGATTGTGAGTCAACATAAACATCACAAACATACACGAACAGGACCAACAAAAACAAAACACGAGGGACTTACATAAACACAACATCCGGTACCAGCAATGAAATACAATAATACAACGGCGTTCCCCCTGTGAAGTACTATCTGTGACTCACGTTATATTCTCTTTCGAATCCATCTTTCCTCTGTTTAAGCATTGCCACTGTTGCAGCTAATTCAGGCACAACGACGTCTCTGATGGCGTCTTCGGCGTCTGCGTTGTAGTAACAGCTGTCAGGTGATCGAACTTCCTCATCAACGTCTTCTTCCTCCTGGTCTTTGTCTTTAGAACTTAGCTGTTTGCTTGATGCTGCGTGTATGGCAGGTTTTGGTTTTATTGGTGGCTTCTGGTGGACTGCTTTGTTCTCACCTAGAACCACGTTACCAGCAGCGCCGCTCTCTACAGCAATGGAAAGCATACAGTACATGCATTATACTTCGGGTTGGCTGTCTGTTGTAATGAAAGTTATGAGCCTGTTTTATCACAGGACAAAGAAAAGAAATGTAGCTAAGAAAAGCAAAATAAGTACGTGCCTGATCCAATACGATTTTTGTATTTACTTTGCCTGGATTTCCTAAAATTATAGTTTCCCTCAAGGCGTATATTCACATGTTACAAACGACCTAAAACAACAGTCACAATTCTTATCCTAAGCTCTACAACTAGGGCAAATCCTGCATACATATAAACAGATTTGAAACTTTAATAATAATTTCTAACACTTGTTTCCACAAAACAAAATATAAAATAAAACAGACGTGGTGGACGAAATGGTTTCCTACTTTGTCGTCTTAGTGTTCTCACCTTGTGCTGCAGGGTGAAACTCTGCAACGTGTTTGTTGATGTCGCCTTGGTGAAGCCTCCTCTTCCTGTGACATCAGAATGGTACGAGTATAAACAAACCACATACTACTACGTAACAAACAATCGTTACTAACATAGACAAAACACATGGGACTAACATTAACAAAACACGTGGTACTAGCATAGATAAAACACATGGAACTAACAAAAACAAAACACACAGGACTTACATAAACAAACAAGCTTTACTAACATAGAGAAAACACATAGCCAAACATAAACAAAACACATGGGGCTAACAAAATTAAAACACATGGGACTAAGAAAAACAAAACACACGCTACAACTATAAACAAACCACACACGGCACTTACATAAACACAACACACGGTTCTAGCATCGGCGGTGAAAAATATATCTATCAAGGAAAATATATATGGGTCATTCTCTAAAAAAGTAACATTGCCTGTCCAAATAAATTTTCTTGAAAACAACTCATTATTCTGTTTTCAGATTACTTGACAATGGAGATATTTATCAGATGTATGCAATATTCTGATCAAATTACTGCTATAACCTTATGTTAACCAGTAAAATACCTTAAATGTGCAGTATTGTGCGGTATATACGTAGTCCAAAAGATGCATGGGTTTCGAAACCCATTTACCGGATGAACCATTTAACATTGTTTAAAAGCTGAAATCTAGACCTAATTGACACTATATCCAAGTATGGTTTGACGTTTAGTGTGCAACAGGTAGTCGTGTGCTAAATGTACATACATATGGAGTCACACTTAGCTGGAGTGCATACTGTTGTCAGAAATTACCTGATGACAAGGACCACAATAATAATGAGGATAGCCGCAACAAGTAGACCTGCAACTGTTCCCGCGACAGCTGACACTGGAAACAACTGGGATGTGTCTTTTCCATCTAGAGCAGCTGTAAATGTGTACAATATGTATCTGGTAAATAAACTATTTTACAGCATGAAACTTCGCTTGTGGCAACAGTACCTTATAGAGTAATACGAGTTGCAATAAAATAATCACACAACTAGATTTTACAGACATGATCTGTGGAGACAAGGCAATGGTAAATTAATTATATGTTATATGTTGCAGCATGCAGGTGAAACCTTGATCTACACCAAAGCCTTAACGTGATATAGTTGAGTGTCGATACAGCAATACTCATCAAGTACTTCGTATAGAGACATATAAAACAAATATCGCATAATTCGCAACAAACCCTCTAACATTTGCGCAGCAAGTTGTATAACGTAAATAATCAAGCCCTAATATTGATTCCTGGTGCCCATTACCAGATCCATGAGGTTCAGACCTTTTGTGGGGTATATGCGATAACTCACAAAGCTTCACTGAGCAGTGGGAACCATTGAATCCCTCAGTACATCCCCCCAGACATCGACCATCAGCAATATTACATGTGCCGTTACAGTGGCCACAGTTCTTCTCACAGTTCAAACCGTACGTCCTGTTGTCACACTCTGAATCGAAAATGAACAATTGCATTCATAATACGATTTTGATTGCTGAAATTACTCACTCTTATGTGAGGTAGTTTCGGGTTCTACCAGGCGTTTCTATTTTTACAAAATAATGAAAACAGTAGATCGTATTTCTTCAGTATATGGTTAACTAAGGTCAAGTGCATTTCTGATAGAGGGTAAGCACTCACCTGTCTGACACAGGTCAGGTTGCCAGCCTGCCTGACATACACCTGGACAGGCTCCAGTGACGTGATGACATGTGTTGGTATCAGCACAGTGGCCGCAGGTTGATTCACAGTTGATGCCATATGTGCCGTTGGGACACTCTGTTTGGAATAGCATATAGCGGATTAGTTTCATCATATTACACCAGGACGAGCCAAGTATTTAATATTCGGTCCCGCATGTCAAATATGGTCATTTTGAAGTACCCAGAGATTTACTTATCAAATTTGAAAATTGGTTTAATGTCCCAAAAGGATTCACAAACAGATGCACGTTTATATATTACTTGATCTGTGAGATATGGCGATCTCCATGTACGCTTACAAACGCTACGAATGTCCATACATCTGTTTTCTTAAGAAAAACATTTCAATTTCTAAGTAGTCAGGTTTTCAGGGATCGTTGCTACCAGATGCAAACATTGTAAGTGGTGGTCGAAGGTCAGATTACAGTTTGTGCAATACATATTGCGACCCAAAACATTTAGGAGGAAACACAACGTACAAGTGTGGAAGGGTTTACTTGACAGGGGATTCATCGGAATCATAAGGTCATGGTCATGTTCTTTGTTGTTTGTATTGGTATGTACGTAATTAATTATGCACATAACCTCGAGGATATGTCTATGTGACTATTGTCAGTGACCTCCTATGAAGGTAAATCGAGTAATGTGTGACCTTCAGCTATTGGATGGTTGGTTGGTTGGTTGGTTTGTTGTTTAACACCGCACTCAGCAATATTCCAGCTATATGACGGCGGTCTGTAAATAATCGAGTCTGAACTAGACAATGTAGGGATTGATATTATGATCATCGACCCACAGAATATATCGTAAAGTTGACTCATCAGAAACTCAAAGCTGTCTTTAGTTTTAGTTGACTGACATGAAACACTTCAGCATATCACTGATACTATTACTGTATTACATTACTGACAGACTCCACCTGAACCGAATGTCCGCCAGATGGGTACCACGAATTTTGACACCAGCTAAGAATTTTATGTCTTAACTAAGAGTGATACCTGACTCCATCACTTTAAACTAGGGCCAAAACTGTAGAGCAAACAGTGAAATATCTGGCCTGTCCCCCGCCAAAGATGTACTAGCGGGTGGCGTGGCGTCGGTATTCTATAGTCAGTAAGATTCTCTATCTGTAACGAGGTAAAAATACCAATAGGAAAACCGTTAACTTTATTCAGGATGCTACTGCTTGAGAATATTGCACCTATCCACACAGTGGCTAAAGCTATAGATTATGACTGTCACTTACTTCACCATGCCCTTGACTCTCACGACAACTACTTATCAAAGAATAGACATTTTGCCAGAAGGTTCAACCTCAAAGGTTCATATATATAGATGACCTCATTTCTTAAAAGATGCCAAGATAAATGAATGTCCTGACATTATCTATCTACCAGAGTTTGAATCAAGGAAACAACTGACAAACAATACAATATGTTTAATCTAGATCAAAGACATTCAAAATGAGGGCAGTTTGTTGAAACCATTACCTTGAATACAGTCTGATCCCTGATATCCATCCCCACATCCACTGTCACACTGTCCTTGTATCGCGTCACAGATGGAGTTCATCTTGCAGTGACGAGCATCGCAGATTTGGTCACAGTTTGATCCATATCTTCCAGTGATGCAAGCTAGGTAATGAAAATGCCAAATCTTAATCTGTATAGAAGGTAATTATTAATATCAGGATTAGCCATGTGTTTTAAAATAAAAGACAGATATCTATTTTCTTGATGCTGGATGGCGCGTTGACTTTCAGTTTTCAGAAGTTTTCTACTAACATTATAACAGAGAGATATGAAAATGTATGTTTAAGACAGTACATAACTACACTTTAATTTACAAAATTATATTTCATGGTTAACCTGTGATCGGCAAATCTCACATTATGTTGGAAAATAAATGATGTTGACATATATATGAATGAGACCATCACAGATGTAGTGCTTTGTACTTTCACTCAGTTGAGATTTCAGTGGGCATATACAGTTGACAAGTGCCATTCAAACAAAGTCTGGCTGCCCTGCACGAACAGTTTACAGTTGTTCCCACTGGCAAGGCCTCAGATAACGTAGCCGTTATATGAAGGCATCACTATGTTAGTTGTTTGGTCAAAGAATTTGGTATAAATGGCATATAAAAATGCCACATATAATGCCAATATGTTAACAGAGGAACAAACCTGTCGAAACCATGCATCAGTACCATCAATTTTTGGCTTGACTCTAAAACCTGAACACATGTCCATTCCTCCTTTATACTCCAGCAAATGTACCACCAAATCCCTGTCTTAAAGACTTGCCATAAGCCTTTGTACAATCAAGAAAATATTTTCTTTATATTCACAAAATTTTAGACAAGTGGAATTAATACCAAACGATTTGCTTGGGTTTTTACAATCTGAGAAAAGATCCAAGTTCCATTCTGTTAAAACATTTGATTTTTCAACTTTGTACACCACTATCCTCCACATGACAATCTCTAGAATGCATCATCATAGGCACAAACTGTGCTCCATTTTTTGTGGATCTGTTTCTTTATGCATATGAAGAGGAATTTCTGCTCTGATTGGCAAAGTCAATACAAGGCCATTTGGCTAAGAAGTATGACTTATGCTTCAGGTATATCGGTGATCTGATATTGTTCAATAACCTTCAAAAAGCTAATTCCCTTGCACTGATTTACCAACCTGAACTAAAAATAAAGGAGACCAGTGGGACAGCCTCATCTGTTTCATATTTTGATTCTGCATACCACTCTCCACAAGACTGTGTGACAAGAGGGGTGACTTTGCAATATTCAACTTTCCAGTATTACAAAAGATCCAGTCCTTGGTGTTTACATTTCACACATTTTCAGATACAAACGAGCATTCTCTTTCTAACACGATTCTCAAGAGCGTCATACGACTCTTCCTCGGAAGTTGTTGGATCAGGGTTACAACATTAAAGTCCTCAGTAAAACTCTTAAAACGTTCTTATGGTAGACATGTGGAGGTCATTTCCAAAGATCAGTGACATGCAATCCCATATTTTGCCTTACACAATATGTTCCCGCTTTTTCTTCTCAGGTCGACATATTACTTGCATGTGTTTGTGACGGGTCTTTGTGTTGGCGGGGAAGACGCGCTTACCTTTTCGCGAATACCTGGTATCAAACCTTTTTGATAGTGATTCATAAACACATGCTCATGATCTGGTCTGTATCGTACAGTACTAGTCGACTCTATTTCTATTGATTATGGAAGCCTTTTGTGTTCAGAGTAACGAGTGCAGCAATGATCCGATGTTTTAACTGTAACTTATATATTTATATTTTGAATTTCCATAATTATTCTCATTGAACAGTGTCATCGTAATCTTAAAACTCACCTGCACAGTCTGTTCCGCTCCATCCTGTCTGGCACTGGGAACCTGAACATGACCCAGTACCAGGATCACAGTCGGATTGCTGAAGACAGTGACGAGCATTACAGTCCTTGTTACAGTTGACTCCATAACCTCCAGATGTACACACTGGAAGGAATAAATGACTTTTGCTATTTCTAATTCCATTTATTACAGCGGATGATATAATTCATATGTATACATTCGTCAATATTCAATTCCTAACTTTTATCTGAAAGAGGTACCCTCTTCATGTAAAATAGGTCGTTATTATAACGTTGACGGGAACGGGAAATGTGATAATAAACGAACACTGTACTCCTTTGCTGTACTAGAATATGCTGATCCTGTGTTGGAATACTAGATTTGCCCCAGCTATGCTACGTGGTTTATTCAAAGCATCCTCGTGCACCTGGGTGACCTGCATTCCTCTCCAACCACAATCAATTAGAACTTAGTGGTTTAACTGAAGACCTGTTTAACACGGCCCTCCTTACTTCGGTTAGACAAATCAAGAAACATAAGCAGGGACAATTTGGGATTTTCACCAACGATCATACGTCATACAAGCAAATGACCAGAAATCCGCACATCAAATTGCTGCGTCTTATATAACCGAATGCCAAACAAAATTAGCTTTTGTAGACATATGAAAGCTTTAAACAGACATATTATTCAGGAAGTCATAGTTATCACAGCTTAAATGCTTTTGTTCAGTCACATTTCATTCGAAATATAATACACAAGTAGATATATTTATACACAAGTATCCTATTTACATAGAATCATTAGGTCTGTGCCTCAACCTTTTGTATTCCGTTGTCTAGTGGTTGTGAATCTTTGAATGCATCTGCAATACATCAACTAAAACACAGCCAACCAACTGCCCATCAAGTAATGGAGAAAAAGTGATCTCTACTTGACCTCAATTCAAATACATATTCCTGTGGGAGACAGTATTGAAAACTAAGGCCAGATAGTGTTTAACCTGTCTCGGTAGTGCATTCTGCCCAAACATAAACGCACATTCATTTTTTTACCATGCATTGATACTCATCCCTTCAAAAATTATTAGTATTGTTAGACTATTATTTCAGGATCTTCCCCCGGTCTTCCTCATGTCCAGCTGTCTGTTACTGAATTCCCTTTTGGCGTCTGGTGCATGTTCGTCCATTTTGTTTTTATTTCTTTTGTTGTACGCTGACAAACACCGAGAGCGTTAACTTTGGAAGTTATGTCTGCCCAAATAGCCTTCTTTCTTTCGTGGGTAACGGTGCTACACAACTTACTGTTAAGTATGGAGATGTGTTTCTACACCAACTCGGCTAATAGCTGAATTTCGGAGCTGTCGAAATTCTTGTTTCTATTCCTAGGTTTAGGTGGATACGATACCATTTTGACAGACGACCGGAAGTAACGCGTACGTGTTGACGTCAAGGAATTGTGGGAAATATTTAGGGGAAACACCGAATTTAATGACAGGGTAATGAAGACACTTACATTAAGGAATCATTAGATAATGATATGCTAATAAACGTTTGATACAACCGATTTTAATGATGCCATTAACTAATACTGCATTAAGCATTTAATGTATCATTAGGGTTTAATGTAGCCATTAGTTAATGAGGCTTTGATAAAACCGGGTCCAGGTCGTTATCTTAACTTTGTCGGGAACGGGAAATGTCATGATAAATGAACACTATACTCCTTTCGCTGTATTAGAATATGCTGATCCCGTGTTGGAATACTGTAATTGCCCAAGCTGTGATACTTGGTTTTTTGAAAGCATGCTCGTGCACCAGGGTTTAAGTAAAGTGGCAAGAATCAAGGTTGGTTGGTTGGTTGTTTAACACTGCAGCCTCATCAGTTTACACACAAAAACCTATCTATATGGTATCATTAGGTCTGTGCCTGAACATTCTGTATTCAGTCGTCAAGTGGTTATGAATGTTCGAGTGCATCTGCAATATATCAACCAAAAACCCAACCAACCGCCCATCAAGTAATGGAGAAAAAGTTATATCTACTTGACCTCAATTCGAATACATATTCCTCTGGGAGACAGTATTGAAAACTAAGGCTAGATTGTATTTAACCTGTCTCGGTAGTGCATTCTGCCCAAACATAAACTCACATTCATTTCTTTACCATGCATTGCTACTCATCCATTCAAAAATAATTAGTACTGTTAGACTATTATTTCAGGATGACTGCACGACCGCGAAGATAGACACTTCATTGCAAAAATAAGGTCTCTTTTTCAACAATGACAGAATACAAAGCCAACATATGCCACTGCATGAAGTGAAAACACCTCGAAGCAGCCTCATCACCATGTTTTGCTATTTGCCTAAAGGTCAGAACAAATTGACTTCAGCTTATTTAACATTCAACGCAACTTCTTTCCGATATATGTTTACTAAATAGTTTGTGATTCATCAAAGCTAGGCTCACTGATACAGCACAGATTGATCAGCACTTGAAGTATAGTTAATCAATGCAATGACATGTTACTTTCAGTTTCGGAAAAACAAATGCAGTTGAAACAAATGCGTAATCCACGAGCACAGGAATGGTAATTACAAATCAAGAAACAATCATCCAGAATCTGAAGTTCTAACCCACCATCATTGGCATCCGGCACACTTAAGAACAGAACTCTGCACAGCAAATTGTATGTACCAATGAACCATTGCAAACAGTGCCGGAAGTTGCAATGCCCGTTACAGCAGTCTCAATAGAAGCAAAGTTAAATTCAATAAGGGTACTTCATGCTATCGGCTTAATCAAAAACATGTAATGACACTGTTTCATTTTAGATAGTAGCAAAACCTTTAGTCTCCAAAATAACGAATTCAGCAATGGTCCGATGTTTTAACTGTAACTTCTATAGTTATAATTTGAATTTCCATTTTTATTCTCATTGAATAGTGTCATTGTAATCTTAAAACTCACCTGCACAGTCTATTCCGCTCCATCCTGTCTGGCACTGGGAACCTGAACATGCCCCAGTACCAGGATCACAGTTCGATTGCCGAAGACAGTGACGAGCATAACAGTCCTTGTTACAGTTGACTCCATAACGTCCAGATGTACACACTGGAATAAAAGACTTTTTCGATTTCTAATTCCTTTTATTACAGCGGATGATATAATTCATATGTTTACATTCATCAATATTCAATTCCTAACTTTTATTTGAAAGAGGTACCCTCTTCATGTAAACAGGTCGTTATTATAACGTTGACGGGAACGGGAAATGTCATAATAAATGAACACTATACTCCTTCGCTGTACTAGAATATGCTGATCCCGTGTTGGAATACTATATTTGCCCCAGCTGTGATACTTGGTTTATTGAAAGCATGCTCGTGCACCAGGGTTTAACTAAAGTGGAAAGAATCAAGGTTGGTTGGTTGGTTGTTTAACGCCGCAGCCTCATCAGTTTACACACAAAAACCTATCTATATGGTATCATTAGGTCTGTGCCTGAACATTCTGTATTCAGTCGTCAAGTGGTTGTGAATGTTCGAATGCATCTGCAATATATCAACCAAAACCCAACCAACCGCCCATCAAGTAATGGAGAAAAAGTTATATCTACTTGACCTCAATTCAAATACATATTCCTGTGGGAGACAGTATTGAAAACTAAGGCTAGATTGTATTTAACCTGTCTCGGTAGTGCATTCTGCCCAAGCATAAACGCACATTCATTTCTTTACCATGCATTGCTACTCATCCATTCAAAAATAATTAGTATTATTAGACTATTATTCCAGGATGACTGCATGATCGCGAAGATAGAGACTTCACTGGAAAAATAACGTCTCTTTTTCCACAATGACAGAATACAAAGCCAACATATGCCACTGCATGAAGTGAAAACACCTCGAAGCAGCCTCATCACCATGTTTTGCTATTTGCCTAAAGGTCAGAACAAATTGACTTCAGCTTATTTAACATTCAACGCAACTTCTTCCCGATATATGTTTACTAAATAGTTTGTGATTCATCAAAGCTAGGCTCACTGATACAGCACAGATTGATCAGCACTTGAAGTATAGTTAATCAATGCAATGACATGTTACTTTCAGTTTCGGAAAAACAAATGCAGTTGAAACAAATGCGTAATCCACGAGCACAGGAATGGTAATTACAAATCAAGAAACAATCATCCAGAATCTGAAGTTCTAACCCACCATCATAGGCATCCGGCACACTTAAGAACAGAACTCTGCACAGCAAATTGTATGTACCAATGAACCATTGCAAACAGTGCCGGAAGTTGCAATGCCCGTTACAGCAGTCTCAATAGAAGCAAAGTTAAATTCAATAAGGGTACTTCATGCTATCGGCTTAATCAAAAACATGTAATGACACTGTTTCATTTTAGATAGTAGCAAAGCCTTTAGTCTCCAAAATAACGAATTCAGCAATGGTCCGATGTTTTAACTGTAACTTCTATAGTTATAATTTGAATTTCCATTTTTATTCTCATTGAATAGTGTCATTGTAATCTTAAAACTCACCTGCACAGTCTATTCCGCTCCATCCTGTCTGGCACTGGGAACCTGAACAAGCCCCAGTACCAGGATCACAGTTCGATTGCCGAAGACAGTGACGAGCATAACAGTCCTTGTTACAGTTGACTCCATAACGTCCAGATGTACACACTGGAATAAAAGACTTTTTCGATTTCTAATTCCTTTTATTACAGCGGATGATATAATTCATATGTTTAGATTCATCAATATTCAATTCCTAACTTTTATTTGAAATAGGTACCCTCTTCATGTAAACAGGTCGTTATTATAACGTTGACGGGAACGGGAAATGTCATAATAAATGAACACTATACTCCTTCGCTGTACTAGAATATGCTGATCCCGTGTTGGAATACTATATTTGCCCCAGCTGTGATACTTGGTTTATTGAAAGCATGCTCGTGCACCAGGGTTTAACTAAAGTGGAAAGAATCAAGGTTGGTTGGTTGGTTGTTTAACGCTGCAGCCTCATCAGTTTACACACAAAAACCTATCTATATGGTATCATTAGGTCTGTGCCTGAACATTCTGTATTCAGTCGTCAAGTGGTTGTGAATGCTCGAATGCATCTGCAATATATCAACCAAAACCCAACCAACCGCCCATCAAGTAATGGAGAAAAAGTTATATCTACTTGACCTCAATTCAAATACATATTCCTGTGGGAGACAGTATTGAAAACTAAGGCTAGATTGTATTTAACCTGTTTCGGTAGTGCATTCTGCCCAAGCATAAACGCACATTCATTTCTTTACCATGCATTGCTACTCACCCATTCAAAAATAATTAGTATTATTAGACTATTATTCCAGGATGACTGCATGATCGCGAAGATAGACACTTCATTGCAAAAATAAGGTCTCTTTTTCAACAATGACAGAATACAAAGCCAACATATGCCACTGCATGAAGTGAAAACACCTCGAAGCAGCCTCATCACCATGTTTTGCTATTTGCCTAAAGGTCAGAACAAATTGACTTCAGCTTATTTAACATTCAACGCAATTTCTTCCCGATATATGTTTACTAAATAGTTTGTGATTCATCAAAGCTAGGCTCACTGATACAGCACAGATTGATCAGCACTTGAAGTAGAGTTAATCAATACAATAACATGTTACTTTCAGTTTCGGAAAAAACAAATGCAGTTGAAACAAATGCGAAATCCACGAGCACAGGAATGGTAATACAAATCAAGAAACAATCATCCAGAATCTGAAGTTCTAACCCACCATCATAGGCATCCGGCACACTTAAAGGGGCACTGATCTAACGCAATTCCCCGGGACTGGTTGTTGCCTTTGTTATTGTTTTTTCCCAGTGAATACCCAGATGTATAGCAGAAATCTAGACTAGTTCGCGACCTCTGCTGCGCCATTCGTAAGCGCATTAGTCACATTATGGGTAGTAATAAGGGCGTATGGTCACATTGATCAACAAAATGAAATACAGTTTTCGAGATAATAAGGAAATGTAGGTATCTTTGTGAGTATCATCGGTAATGGTGACGAAGTTTTGATAAGTCACTTGCTTGGTAATTTTGCGATTTTCGTTTACACTATTTTGACTTGCAACACAAAGTAAACATTTCACCTGAGCATATGCTTTTTTTATAGTGTGTATATTTTTTTACTGTCAAACGTCTAAATATTCAGTTATTTTACAAAGTGACGGAAAGACATTTCCATCTGTATTATTATGACAACGAATTCCAAACATTTTGATGTTTAATGTCATCACCAAGAGACTGAAAATGTAACGTTGAAAAGTACATTTCTAAGTTGTTTGGCTTTTAATCCTACATAATAATCTGTCGTGATGTTTGTAGGCCCTTTTGATCGTCTTGATCAATCTGGACAGATTTTTTAGTCAAAATGACTGAAATATTTACACATTTTATAAATTGCCTGAGAGAATCACATTTTACAAATTGACGGTAATATATACACGCTTACAAAGGAAAAGACCTGTGACAACAACGTCTATCGCGCATTGAAGAATTTACCTGAAGGAAAACAAAATGCAGATATCATAATTACAACCTACCAAATTTATGTGTATAAGTTTTAGGCAGCTTCCTTGTTCGAGGAATGTATCCGTGAATATCCACACAAAGGAACAATATCCCACTCGTCTGCAGCTGTACAAAGAAACTTATTCGATGTCACGTGTCTCAGTAACAATCAAATATTTTAAAATATATATATCGTTTCGGGATATTATAACCCGTGTTCGTTTCTCAACTGATCGCTTGGATTGTTTCAGGTGTTTTACATAGGTGTCAAGTCTCAATGGTCGGCTGAGAAAGCCCACGTGACAACTATTTTCATAGCGTCCACGGTTCCTAAAAATTCCATTGAGTGATAGATAACAATGATCAATCAATCAACGTATTATCAGTTAACCCTTTGAACAAAGTATGTTGTTTTTACATCGGCACTTCGCGCCATGGTATGAGTGTATTCCCTTTGTTTTAGTAAACCTAGACATGTAAACACTCACTATTGACATATCCACTGTGCAAGATAACAGTGATTAATCAATCAACGTATTTTCTGTTAATCCTTTGATGACTAGGAACGATCCGTTGATTTACAAAAAAAAGTAAATCAACTGATCATTCATCTCTTGCTGGGCTGCCACGTGCATATTACATAACACACATTTCACCTCACTTCAAACCTGGATTTAGATTGAATAATTACCCCAGACACAATAAATGCCAAATGGGAACCTTTGTCAGGTAATATAAGTGGTGCTACCACTAACTGTACCTGTAATAAATTCATTAACTGAGCATCAAGTGAATGACAACAAATACACAAGTGTAGGGTTATACGAGAAAACGTGGATGACAACAAGGGAGTAGTAATCGTATTATCGACGCAAGCCGAAATCCGAAAATGCTTTCACTGCATGGATATTTTTTTCAGTATTAAACTATAACCATCTGGGGTATTTCCAAATGACGACATCCGATGAGCTCCCTTGTTCTTTTTGTCTGTTTGTTTAGGCTGAAGAAATGAATTAACATGCGCCCTTTGTCGAAATCTTTATAGATCACAGTTAACCAATCAGTGTTCAAAAATGCGTAAAACAAATATTGCCTCCAGCCTCCAAGTTTATTTAGCTGTCCTTGCAGACGGTACCCCAGTCTCTGGTCACGCTCAGTTGCGTTGCGTATCATCCGGGTACTCACGGGGGGAAAACAATAACAAAGGCAACAACCAGTCCGTTAGATCAGTGCCCCTTTAAGAACAGAACTCTGCACAGCAAATTGTATGTACCAATGAACCATTGAAAACAGTGCCGGAAGTTGCAATGCCCGTTACAGCAGTCTCAATAGAAGCAAAGTTAAATTCAATAAGGGTACTTCATGCTATCGGCTTAATCAAAAACATGTAATGACACTGTTTCATTTTAGATAGTAGCAAAACCTTTAGTCTCATAATTAACGAATTCAGCAATGGTCCGATGTTTTAACTGTAACTTCTATAGTTATAATTTGAATTTCCATTTTTATTCTCATTGAATAGTGTCATCGTAATCTTAAAACTCACCTGCACAGTCTATTCCGCTCCATCCTGTTTGGCACTGGGAACCTGAACATGCCCCAGTACCAGGATCACAGTTCGATTGCCGAAGACAGTGACGAGCATAACAGTCCTTGTTACAGTTGACTCCATAACGTCCAGATGTACACACTGGAATAAAAGACTTTTTCGATTTCTAATTCCATTTATTACAGCGGATGATATAATTCATATGTTTACATTCATCAATATTCAATTCCTAACTTTTATTTGAAATAGGTACCCTCTTCATGTAAACAGGTCGTTATTATAACGTTGACGGGAACGGGAAATGTCATAATAAATGAACACTATACTCCTTCGCTGTACTAGAATATGCTGATCCCGTGTTGGAATACTATATTTGCCCCAGCTGTGATACTTGGTTTATTGAAAGCATGCTCGTGCACCAGGGTTTAAGTAAAGTGGAAAGAATCAAGGTTGGTTGGTTGGTTGTTTAACGCTGCAGCCTCATCAGTTTACACACAAAAACCTATCTATATGGTATCATTAGGTCTGTGCCTGAACATTCTGTATTCAGTCGTCCAGTGGTTGTGAATGTTCGAATGCATCTGCAATATATCAACCAAAACCCAACCAACCGCCCATCAAGTAATGGAGAAAAAGTTATATCTACTTGACCTCAATTCAAATACATATTCCTGTGGGAGACAGTATTGAAAACTAACGCTAGATTGTATTTAACCTGTTTCGGTAGTGCATTCTGCCCAAGCATAAACGCTCATTCATTTCTTTACCATGCATTGCTACTCATCCATTCAAAAATAATTAGTATTATTAGACTATTATTCCAGGATGACTGCATGATCGCGAAGATAGACACTTCATTGCAAAAATAACGTCTCTTTTTCAACAATGACAGAATACAAAGCCAACATATGCCACTGCATGAAGTGAAAACACCTCGAAGCAGCCTCATCATCATGTTTTGCTATTTGCCTAAAGGTCAGAACAAATTGACTTCAGCTTATTTAACATTCAACGCAACTTCTTCCCGATATATGTTTACTAAATAGTTTGTGATTCATCAAAGCTAGGCTGACTGATACAGCACAGATTGATCAGCACTTGAAGTAGAGTTAATCAATACAATAACATGTTACTTTCAGTTTCGGAAAAACAAATGCAGTTGAAACAAATGCGAAATCCACGAGCACAGGAATGGTAATTACAAATCAAGAAACAATCATCCAGAATCTGAAGTTCTAACCCACCATCATTGGCATCCGGCACACTTAAGAACAGAACTCTGCACAGCAAATTGTTTGTACCAATGAACCTTTGAAAACAGTGCCGGAAGTTGCAATGCCCGTTACAGCAGTCTCAATAGAAGCAAAGTTAAATTCAATAAGGGTACTTCATGCTATCGGCTTAATCAAAAACATGTAATGACACTGTTTCATTTTAGATAGTAGCAAAACCTTTAGTCTCATAAGTAACGAATTCAGCAATGGTCCGATGTTTTAACTGTAACTTCTATAGTTATAATTTGAATTTCCATTTTTATTCTCATTGAATAGTGTCATCGTAATCTTAAAACTCACCTGCACAGTCTATTCCGCTCCATCCTGTCTGGCACTGGGAACCTGAACATGCCCCAGTACCAGGATCACAGTTCGATTGCCGAAGACAGTGACGAGCATAACAGTCCTTGTTACAGTTGACTCCATAACGTCCAGATGTACACACTGGAATAAAAGACTTTTTCGATTTCTAATTCCATTTATTACAGCGGATGATATAATTCATATGTTTACATTCATCAATATTCAATTCCTAACTTTTATTTGAAATAGGTACCCTCTTCATGTAAACAGGTCGTTATTATAACGTTGACGGGAACGGGAAATGTCATAATAAATGAACACTATACTCCTTCGCTGTACTAGAATATGCTGATCCCGTGTTGGAATACTATATTTGCCCCAGCTGTGATACTTGGTTTATTGAAAGCATGCTCGTGCACCAGGGTTTAACTAAAGTGGCAAGAATCAAGGTTGGTTGGTTGGTTGTTTAACGCTGCAGCCTCATCAGTTTACACACAAAAACCTATGTATATGGTATCATTAGGTCTGTGCCTGAACATTCTGTATTCAGTCGTCCAGTGGTTGTGAATGTTCGAATGCATCTGCAATATATCAACCAAAACCCAACCAACCGCCCATCAAGTAATGGAGAAAAAGTTATATCTACTTGACCTCAATTCAAATACATGTTCCTCTGGGAGACAGTATTGAAAACTAAGGCTAGATTGTATTTAACCTGTCTCGGTAGTGCATTCTGCCCAAGCATAAACGCACATTCATTTCTTTACCATGCATTGCTACTCATCCATTCAAAAATAATTAGTATTGTTAGACTATTATTTCAGGATGACTGCACGACCGCGAAGATAGACACTTCATTGCAAAAATAAGGTCTCTTTTTCAACAATGACAGAATACAAAGCCAACATATGCCACTGCATAAAATGAAAACACCTCGAAGCAGCCTCATCATCATGTCTTGCTATTTGCCTAAAGGTCAGAACGAATTGACTTCGGCTTATTTAACATTCAATGCAACTTCTTCCCTATATATGTTTACTAAATAGTTTGTGATTCATCAAAGCTAGGCTCACTGATACAGCACAGATTGATCAGCACTTGAAGTAGAGTTAATCAATACAATAACATGTTACTTTCAGTTTCGGAAAAACAAATGCAGTTGAAACAAATGCGAAATCCACGAGCACAGGAATGGTAATACAAATCAAGAAACAATCATCCAGAATCTGAAGTTCTAACCCACCATCATTGGCATCCGGCACACTTAAGAACAGAACTCTGCACAGCAAATTGTTTGTACCAATGAACCTTTGAAAACAGTGCCGGAAGTTGCAATGCCCGTTACAGCAGTCTCAATAGAAGCAAAGTTAAATTCAATAAGGGTACTTCATGCTATCGGCTTAATCAAAAACATGTAATGACACTGTTTCATTTTAGATAGCAGCAAAACCTTTAGTCTCATAAGTAACGAATTCAGCAATGGTCCGATGTTTTAACTGTAACTTCTATAGTTATAATTTGAATTTCCATTTTTATTCTCATTGAATAGTGTCATCGTAATCTTAAAACTCACCTGCACAGTCTATTCCGCTCCATCCTGTCTGGCACTGGGAACCTGAACATGCCCCAGTACCAGGATCACAGTTCGATTGCCGAAGACAGTGACGAGCATAACAGTCCTTGTTACAGTTGACTCCATAACGTCCAGATGTACACACTGGAATAAAAGACTTTTTCGATTTCTAATTCCATTTATTACAGCGGATGATATAATTCATATGTTTACATTCATCAATATTCAATTCCTAACTTTTATTTGAAATAGGTACCCTCTTCATGTAAACAGGTCGTTATTATAACGTTGACGGGAACGGGAAATGTCATAATAAATGAACACTATACTCCTTCGCTGTACTAGAATATGCTGATCCCGTGTTGGAATACTATATTTGCCCCAGCTGTGATACTTGGTTTATTGAAAGCATGCTCGTGCACCAGGGTTTAACTAAAGTGGCAAGAATCAAGGTTGGTTGGTTGGTTGGTTGTTTAACGCCCCATTCAGAATTATTCCCGGTATATGACGGTGGTTTGTAAAATAATGGAGTCAGGACCAGACAATCCAGTGAATGACATCATGAGCATCGATCCACGCAATTGAGATCGATGGCATGGATTAACCAAATCAGCGAGCCTGACCGCCCGATCCCGTTTGTCGCCTTTTACGACAAGAATCAAGGACCTGCATCCCTCTCCACCCACAATCAACTAGACCGCAGTGTTTTAACTGAAGACCTGTTTAACACGGCCCTCCTTACCTCGGTATGTCTAATCAAGAAACATTAGCAGGGACAATTTGGGATTTCCACCAACGATCATATGTCATTTACAAGCCAAATGAAAACAAATCTTCACATCAAATTGCAGCGTCTTGTATAACCGAATGTAACTCAACAAATTACCTTTTGTGGACATATTTAAGCTGTAATTAGACATAACAGGCATACATAGGCATAACAGTTTCAAGCTTTTGTTTAGATACATTTTATTTCATATATATTACAAACATAGATGTATTAATACCAAAAAAAACTATCTATATGGAATCATTAGGTCTGTGCCGGAACTATTTGTATTCAGTCGTCCAGTGGTTGTGAATGTTAGAATGCATCTGCAATATATCAACCAAAAACCAACCAATCGCCCATCAAGTAATGGAGAAAAAGTGATATCTACTTGACCTCAATTCAAATACATATTCATGTGGGAGACAGTATTGAAAACTAAGGCTAGATTGTATTTAACCTGTCTCGTTAGTGTATTCTGCCCAAATATTATTAATTTTGATTTCCATAATTATTCTTATTGAATAGTGTCATCGTCGTCTTCATACTCACCTGCACAGTCTGGTCCGCTCCATCCTGTCTGGCACTGGGAACCTGAACATGCCCCAGTACCAGGATCACAGTAGGATTCCTGAAGACAGTGACGAGCGTTACAGTCCTTGTTACAGTCGACTTCATAACGTCCAGCTGGACATGCTTGGTCGACTGAAAACCAAATTGTTAAAACTGTTTGTAGAATTCAATTTACGGGTTAAAATGTTCATGATACATCATTACTTAACCGAACATGGATACAAAGCAATGTTTCAGAAATGCCAAACCCCAATCAAAGAGAGTTGTAAGGTGTAGTGGCTTTTTAACATTATTTCACGCTCAAACTCAGCATCATAAAGTATAAAAGGTGTTCAGCTATATGATATTATCTGTATCTTGCATTATCAATTAAAATAAACACTCTTCTCACCATATAGTCGGTTATGCCATTTCAATGTCAAAATGAATTAGAACAGCCTGACATTACATTTAAGCATGATATTTAACCAATTATATTTTTAATCAAAGCGAGATAAAACAATGCTGTGACCGTAGTGCTTCCATTTCATATAGAGTTTGAACTTATAAATCTACCAATTTAAAATCATTATTCTCGTCTTCAGTTTCTTTCGTTTGATGAATGTACTCGTGGACTAATGAGTACATGTAACAAATTTACGGAAATCGCATGCCTAGAGTTTGGAGAGACATTGAGTAATACGGGAGAATATTTTCCCCAATACAGCTTCATAAAATCAATAAGGTTTAGATACTTCGAAAATCCCAAAGCTGATATTGGTGACAATGTTTCTGCGATTGACTTCACTTTTGTGACTAGCCTAACCAGGACCAAGAAGTTGAAGTGTATAAATAGACGCTGTCTTTCTTTGTCAGGCTACCAAACTTGAGGCTCATAAATTTAAAACAAGGCAAATCTCTCGCTGATGATGACTTGTCGGTGATTAAGGCATGTGCAAAACATCAAAATGTTAGCCATAGACAAATTAATCTAAAATATATCACAGAAATATTAAATTATACCAAAGTGAGTTACAATTTAGGAGCATTCGGAATCAAATTAAAAGAAGACGAATCATTGCATTTCTTGATATGGCCTTTCCCATCACAGAAGAAGATTTCAGCAAATCTGCGTGGACTGTCAGTGCAGAGTACGATAAACATTTCAACGCAGGTAAACTTTAAGTTCATGACACCAAATGAAAATAACGTAGGAGCCAGTCTTGCTAAATTAGATTACTGTGTAACGATCTTGCTGTTAATTGTTACAATTGACAGTTACGTTTATTTGAGTTTCAAACCTCTTACAGCTTAATGTTTTTCAATGATCTCTAAAGTCCGACAATCCGAACGTTCAGTTTAACGTGTTTTTCTAGTCTTGAGTAAGACGTGTCGTCTTGCACTATATCATCTATTCTCTTTCAGCCTCAGTTTAGTGTTTTCCAACTTTACAGTTTTAAGATTTGTGCAAGATTGTTCGACTGCTAAGCCTAAACAAGCATCCTTATAAGAAGTCAGAAGGATATTAAATATATTTTGCAGGTATTACTAATCAAACTGGATGAATGTTATATTATTTTGAGATATAATGAAGTTATATCTCTACCCTTGGCTTTAAAACTAGCTTTTGTGTCTTGTGAATTTACCATTTAATTGTTTAATGCTGAAAAGTTATTTATACGTTGAAAGTATTTAAACAAATCAGTTTGGTCAAGAAGTATAACTTAAAGTCGTGGTATATCGGTGATTCGATAGACAATTCTCTTCCATTGATTTATCCACGTGAACTAGAAATGAAAGAGAACAGCAAAACCACCTCATCTGTTTTATAGTATGATCTATGCATGCAAATGAAGAGAGATCAAATACTGTATGAGAGAGGGATGACTTAAACTTTCCATTTGTGAACTTTCCCTTAATGTCAAGAAATATTCCAGCAGCTTCAGTCGTTTGTGTCTACCTATTGAGGTGCAATTGAGCATGTTTGATGCTACCTTTTCCTGTTGATTCACAGACGCATGTTTATGATAAAGTAAGAATCGTTCAATGGGCTCTCGATTAATTGAGATATCTTATAATTATGGACATGATCTTTGTCACTTTATATTTCAAGATGAATGTTTATCTAGCGAGTGGCTATTTTTACCACGATTTTGCAGAGGTTAGATGTTAAACTGAGTGAGTGAGTGAGTTTAACGCCGCTTTTAACAATAGTCCAGTTATATCAAGGCGTGTCAGCTTAATGTGGGAGGAACGCCCGATGTGATGCAAGCCTCAGACGTTGACCACTTCGGTGAAACCCACGAGCACGGGTATGGTGCTGACAAACCTAGAAACATAATCGGGGCGAACCGGGGTTAGAACCCACAATCATAGGTTTCTGGTGTGCCCAAGGGACGCAACTGTGCACAGTGAATCGCGGCGCCTTAGACGACTGGGCCCGATGTTAAGGCTTTGAAGATCTGTATGAAGTAGGTAAAGAGGTATACGTACCTGCTTTGAGAAGAGAAACAACTATCGCATGTTTCCATTTATTTTATAATGTACCAAGGCGGATATCAAATGGTGTTTGTATGTTTGTTGTTTATCGCCACACTCAGCAATATTCCACCTTTATGACGTCTGTAAATAATCGAGTCTGGACCAGACAATCAAGTGATTAATATCATAAACACTGATCCACGCAACAGGGTTACGATAACATACATTAATCAAATCAGCGAACCTGACCACCAGATTTCGTTAGTCTCCTCTCACAAGCACAGTCGCCTCTTACGGCAAGCGTGGGTTCCTGAAGACGCAACCCGGATCTTCACGGAGAAGATGGCGGATACCTCTCGAGAATAGGACGGCATTGATCTATCAGTTCCACTGGAGGTATTTTGCTATTCGATAGTGTCTGTCTTAATTCATCAGCAGAAATAGAGGTATGGCGACAAGAGTTACCATCAGATATAACAGAATAGATGTTAACACCAAATCATTTTCAAATGTTTCTTTGTGTCGTCAAAATACACCCACAAAATTGTCTGAGCTCATAACTTTTATAAACTGTTCAGCAAGAATATGAGACTTTTGAGATTTTGTAATTACTGCATTGTCCCTACCCTTTCCTTGTATTGGACTTCTGCTATTGTTGCCACTAAATTTCTTTATTCTAGATCAACTGCTTGTTAGTGGTTTGGACTTGGAAATGCCAGAGACAAATGTACACCAGCTTTCACATCTGCTTGATTCTTCCTGACGAGAGCTAGTTCATATCTCAATGCCAAAAACGAAGTTTGTTATTTTATGAGCATTATTTCGCATTCAACATTCCCTTGATTGGGGTATTTTAGATCCAGTCTGAAGACACCCTTTTCCCAATATATCTCTCTGCGATCTCCATAATTTCAGATGTAATTTTGTTATTTGAAATATCAACATCTTCTTCATATGAGATCAACTACACATCTACCCGGGATTCACTAAGAGAAATTCAGCAACCTGGCAGACTTAAATTCCCACTGACGCAAAGTAGGGATCTCAGTTATAACTTTCGGCGAAAACAGAAGTGATCTTGTCGATAAACATTCCTTTTGCATGTAGCAGTTGTGGACGATGATTCCAATAAAAAATCAAGAATCATAAGTTCAACTCGTGTAATTTTCCCAGTGTTTAGAAGAACAAAATCGTTTTTATTCTAATCATTCACAATTTGTTAGGAATATTGAAGTCAATGTATGAAGATGTCATATTGCAAGGAACTGATTTATATTAAATATTTATCAAAACACTGTCTTGTAGTGTTTTGTATATTATGGACAAGAAAGATATGTTTTCATCATGCAATATTGTAATAGCATTTGCTTCAAAGGCATCAACTTGCAATTCCTGTCCCATGTAGAGAAGGTCTGATCGCATAAATCTTGCACAACCACCTCTGCAATGATTCTTAACTTTTCGATTACACGGAAGACTTTCTTTTCGAAAAAGGATACCGCCATTAATCTTAAAAATGCCTTCCGGCAAATGGGAAGGTTCTAGATCACAAATAAACTCAGGATGAGTACAATATATCCTGGAGAAACCGTTTGAAGTCACAACCATGAGACACCAAATTTGAGCGTTCCATTGTAAAAGTGTAAGAAATAATACAGCCTCTTCAATTAATCGTGGTTACTATGAAGGGCAATACAATATCTTCAGATAAACCGAGGCGGAAATGTCTTTTTGCTATAGAGACAGTTTGCCCATTTTATAATTATAGTTTGTTGCATTAAAGTACATGGTAATGCCGGAAATAACTCTGGCGATAATACCTAGTATACACGATCTGAAACATGTATTTGACAATGGCAGGTACATTTCGAAGAAGGGAGAGGCGACGATGTAATCTAATCTCAACTGGTGGTTCTGCAGCAGTCACGACAGGTGTAAGACCTGCGATCTTGGGAGCTGTGTCATATGAGATTGGAACCTTCAGCATAGGATATGTTACTCTCAACCCTAACCCTTTGGACATTGTCAGTTGTTTGTACTTAGGGCAATTCATATTGGCAGCAGTTTGATCACCACCACATTTTCTGCATTGGTGAAGCAAATGTCACATGAGTGATTGCCACTTCACCAGATGCGCACTTTATATTTTGCATGGTTAATATAAGTTGCTAACATTTGATTGTTGCAGGAACAAATAATCGGACATCATTGTGAAAGAGAATTTTGTATCCGCCTGTTTAACGCTGTTTTGAACACACCTAATGAAAGCGATCAAGAGTATTGCACTGACAAAGCAACGTGTATGTACATCCTTAAACGTCTTTGGGTATGACACAGACCGTAATCGAACTACCGACTTTCTGCCCTCCAGGCATACGCTCTATCCACAACATGACGGGTGCGGTCTTTTGAGAATGGTATGTGAGTGACTTTTAATGCTTAACGTCTCAACGGCAATATTTCAACCATATCGTGACGAGAAGTGCATTATTGTTCCAAGCCACGAAGTGGAAGGGGGATATATGAATGGGTGCCGTCTTTCCGTCCATCCGTCCGTTCGTTCGTTTCCGGAACAGAACACAAAAACCATGACAGATGTCTTTTTTTGAGTTTCCATGGCAACGACTTTGACTTAGACTGAAAATAGCGGTAGTCCTCACTTCCGGAGCAGA